ACTCATGAAATGCAAATATGCAATGTTGCATGAAATTAAGGTTTCTACTCATACTCATGCTTCTCTTAGGCATTTCATCAAACAATAAATGTGCATATACAAACCCTAATTTAATTATCATTCTATTTGTTTCTTAAACCGTCCAAATTGAGAGAAAAACCCTCTTGTATCATCACCACACCTACACGGCAAAAACAGTACCAAAAGTTTCTCCAATTCTTCCAATTTCAACCCATCATCATACCATCACATACACTTCTCATACTCAAATATATCCAACAACAAGCATAAATAATCATCAATCTCATCTCAATTTCTCAATAATCATAACATATGCATGCGTACAAGAAATCTCTTCTCACTTGATTTCTTAAACTTTTAACTTAAGTTGGATTTTGAGTGGAATTTACTTACCTTATGCTTGAGTAGTCTCTAATAAGCTCTCTACTCTTGTTGGATTCAAACCTTCTCTTAACCCTAAGCATAAACTTCATAAGAACTCAACTTTTACACAATTAAATCATAGATGAAAAGCAAGAATTCTTACCTCTTGTTGCCTAGGATCAAAACCCTATTAAAATCCACTCAAAAGCCCTCAAAATCCTTGAAGAATTGAGTGAAAAATTGAGAGAGAAAGGAGAAGGAAAGTGGCGGTGGAATGAGAGAAATAAGGGTTACAAACCCTTAACATCTTATTTTATAAACACACTTTCCCATTTTTCCCTTGCTCTTTCTTAGAAATTCCATCTATGTCCCTTAGTCAATTACCATAATGCCCTCATTTTTATTGCATTTTACATGAAATTCTCTTTCTTTTCACTCCCCACTTTTTCAACTAATTTTGAGTGAAAAGTCCATTTTAACCTTAATGCAAGTTTAAGACATTTTCTTCATATTCTCTTAAAATAACTTTAACAAAAATTAACTAAGGGCTATAAAAACATAAATTAAATTACATACCTCCATGTGGGCGTTACATATGCTGACCACATAAAATAGTTTAAAAACAGTATCAAATGTGCTCACAACTAAAAGGAAAGAAAGAATAAAAACCAATCATACGGGCTTTAAAGAAAGTTTTGTCTTGTAACACTGATAATCCTAGGATTATCAGTGTTACAAGACAAAAATTATAATGTTTGATATAGGCTTTTTGGCCGGATTTTGGATACTTCTTATTTCATTTGTTCCTGAATTGCAACTTAATTTCATATATTTTATGTTTCAGGCCAAAACGTGCAGTTAGAGCAAATACTGAGCGAAATTTATTTCTGGACCCAGAAGCAAGTGAATCTCAGGATTCAGGAAAGTTCTGAAGTGGATTTGAAGCACTATGAAGCTTATTCCTATTGGAGAGCACCAAAGATTGAAGATTCAAGTGAGGAACCAAGCGGAGGGAAGTTCCATAATTTCAGAATTGTTCAGAAAAGTTCACCGCAACAAAGTTCTTTCTTCGCCGCAGCGATAAACTCTTGGGACAGATTAAGAATTTTAAACCAACTCATTGTCGCAGCGAAGTCTGCAAGTTTCAGTTTTTTATAAAATTGTGCATTTTAATTTTAGGCGAGTCTTAGGTTTTTTTGGACCAACTATGTAAGTGAGACTTAGTCATTTTAGAAGGGAGTTCGACATTTTTTGGGAGAAAAGAAGAGAAGATTGGAGATTGAACTCTTTGGATTCATCAAATAGGGAAGATTTTGTTCTCTTTTCTTTATTTCAACATGTTGAATGCATTTTTACTGTTTTTTATTTCGATTTGTGTTAATTTTAGCATGAACTAACTCACTTTTGGGTTAGGGTTTTGATGAAATTGGAATTTTTTTTGTTTAATCAATAAATTGACGTTGCTTTTATATTCTATTGCATGGATTATGTGATTACTCTTGTTTTTATTGAATTTACTTGTTGAGCATGATGAGATTGAGAAGTGAATCATGTATTAGCTTCTTAGGGTAATTGCCATTGTTGTATTGAACGCTATAGATAGGTTTGAGAATCAATGAAACCAATTTAGGATTCTATTTAGCTTAACGAACTTGAAACTATTAACCTTCAAATTGTTGGGTGCGGAAGCTTAACAGGGAGAAGTAGGAAAACATAGCCTGAGAAGGTATGTTTTACACATTAGGGAGTCCGATTTATAATCCGTGCATGTGAGTGTAGAAGTAACATAATTCATAGATTAATTCATATAATCCTAGTGAAGTCAAAACCCTAACCGTTTGTTTTAATTGATATTTCTCTTGAATTAACCTTGCTGTCATTAATTAGTTTTTAAAGTATGTAGTAAATTTTGTTTTCACTTTAGCTTAAACTTAAATTTCTCCCGCAAATCCAAACATCTTTCAGTTTCTCCAACTTGATAAACAACTAGGAAAATCAGTGCTTAACAAGCAATCCTCGTGGAAACGATACTCTACTCATCACTTTATTACTTTTTTGCAACTAGTGCACTTGCTACACATTGCATGTTGTAATTTTAGTGCATCAAATTTTTGGCGTCGTTGTCGGGGATTGATTTTTGTGTTAACATTGAATGTTTCTTATGTTAGCTAGATTGAAGTTTAATTTTAGTTTTAATTGTTTTCTAGTTTAATTTTGCTATTCTTTTCTGTTAGCTTGTGATCTCACAATTTCTTTCTTTTTGTGTAGTTTATGTGAAGAGCTAGACATCATCCAATGGTTCCTATTGATTTAGAGATTGAAAGAACCGCAAGAAGACTTAACAGAGAAAGAAAAGAACGAGAGGCGATTGTCATTGAGATGGCGAAAAACAAAACATTGAGGGAATTTTCAGTACCCACGGCTGATGGTAGTGGTCCAAGTATAACTAGGCCACCAGTGCAAGCCAACAACTTCAAAATAAAGCCGACAATCATCCAGATGATCAAACAGTCAGTACAATTTAAGGGAGATCTGAAGGAAGATCCAAATTCACACATTGTAAACTTCTTAGAGATCTGTGATACCTTCAAATCAAATGGAGTGTCACATGACGCCATCAGATTAAGATTGTTTCCTTTTTCATTAAGGGATAAAGCAAAGAGATGGTTAATGGCACTAGCACCAGGAACAATCACAACCTGGAATGAATTGGCACAAAAGTCCTTTACTAAATACTTCCCTCCAGTGAAATCTGCAAAGATGAGAAATGATATCACATCGTTTCTATAGAAAGAGGCTGAATCACTTTATAAAGCTTAGGAAAGACATAAGGAACTGCTGAGAAAGTGTCCATACCATGGTTTTCCAGTTTGGATGCAAGTCCAAACGTTCTATAATGGGTTGATGGTTAATGTGCAAATTATGGTGGATGCAGTATCTAGAGGAGCATTGCAAAACAAGACACGTGAAGAAGCTTATGAGTTGCTTGAAGTCCTGGCAAGTAACAACTATCAGAGACCCAATGAGAGAATGCAGTCAAAGAAGTCTATGGGTATTCACGAAGTTGATGCTCACATGTAACAGCTACTGTAAACTAGTACAATGCATGCATAATAACAATAGAAAATGGGCCCAAAACTTTTCCTTTTTATTATTAGTCATACGTTTTTTGTACACAAAGAACGTCATTTATAAAAATGCCATTTTAAAAGACAAAACAGGGGAAACAGTGTAGCTATTGCTCCTCGCTTGCTGACGCCCCTCCGACTGCATCATCACCTAGATCCTGCATCCACAAAGGAAAATAACGGGGTGAGCACAAAATAATGCTCAGTAAGTAAAACCCTCTATCTGTCTATCCCCGTATGTNATTTTTGCGACTAGTGGACTTGCTACACATTACATGTTGTAATTTCAACGCATCAGGGGCTTGTGTTGTAGGAGAGGAATGGTTGTTGCATTGAGTAACACTACTAGGAAATTGAGAAAAAGTCTATCTAGGCTGTAACTTCTTTGTATAATTATTAGTTGAAAGATTAGCAATATTTGTGCTGAGCTACTATGAAATTCAGCATGTACCATAGAATTTATTGCACTATTTGCCTTTCCCAACCGAAGTTCAAACTTCTACAAAACAATTTTTGCTTCTTGAACTGTTATAGGATCAATTCTTGACTCGAGTCTAATGGTAATATTTACTACGGCTGCATCATATTTGAAATCAAGTCCGTCTAATATGTGGTTTAACAATTCATCATCAGTAATAACAACACCACTTGCAAACAAAGTTTCAGCATATCCTTTCATTTTTAGAAAGTAATCATGCATACTCATACTTTCTTTCTTTGTGTTTTGCAAAAGACTTTTAACATGGAGTGTTTTTGCTCTAGACTCAGTCAGAAATTCCCTTTTTAGAGCAAGCTAAATATCGTTAGCAGTTTGACATTTAGAGATTACAGAGAACATTGCCTCTAAAATTGAAGACAAGAGCCAGCTCGCTAACAGTTTATTAGTTATCTTCCAAAGAGTAAATTCTGAATTAGGTTTTGTTGTTACCTCTGAATTCGAGCTGTCCAATTGAACTCTAATGAGTAGGACACGACATTAATCTCGTTAGGTATTCTTCGAGGTCATAAGCTCCAATGGCAAAAAGAATTTGGAACTTCCAGAAGCGATGGTTATCCCGTGTCAGTTTTGGTGAAATAATAGGGAGTACGGATGAAGCTACTGACGGATGATTGGCAAAATTGATTGAGTCAAAGACCTCTTTAGATCTTGAATTCTTGTTTGATTTATCAAGAGATGAGGGATTTGAAGAAGAATCAGCCATTTTCAACGTTGGTCAGTGGCTCTGATACAAGTTAGGGAAGAAGAATATTCAAAGGAAAGAAAAAGGGAAGAGAACTAAAGAGAGTCTTCGAGAGTTTAACTTGAGATCTTTTCATTCAATTAATAAAAAGCATTACAAGAAACATGTATATAAAGTGGACAGTGGGCAAAGCAAACAAATTCTTCTATATGAGTGAGCTGAGTGAGCTTAGTTTATTATGTCAACTCAGTCAAACCAAGTCAACTACTAAATCCTAACACTAACCTTAAGAGCTATAGTATATAATTCATCTGGCTACAAGATTTGAAATTGTTACATCATTAATTGATGAGGTGCTCCCCGAATAACCTTCCAACTGTCTTGTATGATTATTCTGTTCATTTTGTTCTGAGAAAGCGGGCTTCTTTGAAATCATCATATTAGTGTTCACATTTTTGAGAATCGTGAAAACTTCCAACATGGATGGTCGATCAATTGGATTTTCTTGAACACATAGTAGAGCCATTTGCAAGCATCTCCTTAATTTACAGGATGAATATGTATCGTCTAGTGATTCATCCATAAACTCCATGCCTTTACTATCATTCCACAGCTTATACGCCTGAAATTATCAAATTATTTATTCTATTGCTAAGTATATTTTGCTACACGATCTTGGAAACAATATTAGCTTTTTAAAGAAATTAACTTACATAGTCTAGAAGGCTCAAACTTTCATTCGGACCATATAAAAGGGAAATCCTTTTGCCACTTATTATTTGTAGAAGTAGAACCCCAAAGCTATAAACATCGGATTTCGTAGAGTATATGCCTCTTCTAGCATATTCAGGAGGAACATAACCACTGCATTGGATTATTATAAAACAAAGTCAATTATATAAGACGAGCAAAATCTTGATACAATTATATAACATTAGAAGTATAGAAACTTACATTGTTCCGACAATACGACTTGTGTTTGCCTCAAGATTATCTTTGGTAAATATTCTAGCCATGCCAAAGTCTGATATTTTTGGCTTCATATCTCCATCTAACAAGACATTACTAACTTTTAAATCTCGATGAATAATTGTCAATCTTGAGTATTCTTGGAGATATAAAAGCCCTTGTGTAACTCCTTCAATGATATGTACACGTTTTTCCCAATCCAAAACAAAGTTGATGGGTCTACATCAAAATTAATCATAGTTAACCGTCAAGACCATAACTGTGCTTAGGCTAACTCCAAAGAGGAAAAAAAAATTTAAAATGTTGTGTGCAAAAATTCTACGTAAAATTCTGACCGAAAAGATAGAAGTCTAAGCTTTTGTTTTGCATATATTCGTAGATGAGTATATGTTCTTCTTTGTCAATGCAAAAGCCCAAAACTCGAACAAGATTTACATGTGGAGCTTGGCTGTAAGCATAACCTCGTTCTTGAATTCCTCAAATCCTTGTGTGGATGTTTTTGAAAGTTTTTCAACTGCTATTACTTGTCCATCAGTAGTATACCCTGGTAAATTAACAAACTTTAGTTGGTTGGGACCTTATACTTTTATGCTGAAATTCAATTAAAACTATAGCATGCAAGAAATATTAAGCTAAAGACAAAATTTTAAAGTTCAAATAAATGATAAATATATAGCTTTAAGAAAGGTACCTTATAAACAGGGCCATATCCGCCCTGTCCAAGTTATTTTCAATTGAAAATCCATTTGTTGCTGCCTTATATAACTAAGGTATATTCTATCAGATTAGGAATGTTGCTATGAAAATCTCCAGCAGAGGCTGCTTTATTTGCTTTAACTTGGATCTTTAGAGGAGTCCCCCATCCCGTAACCAAGAGAGAGGGAAAAATAAAATATTAAAATCCATTCAACTGTTACTTATTCATTCATTGCAAAGAAAATTGAGCAACTTACCTTTTAATTTGAGACTTCTTCCAGTAGTAAATATCATAAATATTCCTAATAGAGAGACAACAGCAGCTGTTGGGGCAAGAAGATTACTAACAAAGGACGCTTATATTTTGTCCATTTTTATATCCTCCTGAACTGAAGAATTATTTATATCCACTCCAGCTGGAAAAATAATCAGTATGTATAGAGATCTTAATTCAAAAGAAGAGTAAATTGCATACAGTACTTTGTTTAGCTTACTAATAGCTTACCTGCTGTTTTAGAAAGCACCCAATTCACATCGTAGGAGACTTGCCACACGAAGTAGCCGAGTAGTTTCTTCTCCTTCGCATAAGTAACCTTAGTTTATAGCCTCAACATCATCAAAGTATCACGTTGTTCCCTTTGTCCAGTAATTCACCACATAAGTTGAGTGTACCTAACTTGAACATCAGGACCATATTGGTTAATGTAATCCTTGATTTCCCTATAGGTTACACCTCCATGTGGTATATTAATGGCAGCTCTTTGCTGGGTGCACCGATACTATTGTCCATAGGGTTTTCGAGAGTCCATGCACAGCCATAGAAAGACAAATCCAATACAATTTATTTGTTGGTAGTCCTCCATTGATCCATTCTCTAAACCATAATCCGTATTAACAAAGTTACTTGGGTCATACAGTGTGCTAGGGCGCCGGTAAGATTTCTGTTGAGAGGGCTGGTGTAATCTTCATGTTAAATATGGAAGCCTGAAACAGCGTCGTTTAAGGGATACTAATACGGCGTCGTTTTAGGCATATTAACTTTGGCGAATTCAGACCAAAGGATGCGTTTAGATTGAACGGTCAGGATCACTCAAAGAGTCAAACCATATAAGCATCTGTTCTTTCAGTTTTCAGAGCAGAGAGAAATAAACAGTGGCTAGGGTTAAATTGAGTCGTTTTTTTCTCTGTGTTAGGGTTCATATCTACTTCCAGATTGTGTGTATCAGTCGAGTGATTAGAGATTAATCATTCAGGTGAGAGTGTTGTCCTCTGGGTTGGGATATACATGGGTATCTTGTAAGGCTGATAGCCGTGTAAACGGGGAGATCTGGTGAGTGTTGAATCTGTGTAATCTGACTGGTTTCTGGTAATCAAAGTGCAGCGAGCTCATACCGTTCTTGAGCTCAACGTGGACGTAGCTTATCCATAAAAGGATAAGTGAACCACGGTAAATCGTTGTTTGTTTGTTGTTTGATTTTGCGGTATTCTTGTGTTTCTTGGTTTGTTTGTGTTGTGATGATAGATCAGGTTTTTTGCTATTGTGGTATAACAGGGTACAGAGCCATTTTCTAAAAAGTGTAGTTCGTGTTCTGCAAAATAGGGTTTCTTAAATTAGGGTTTCCTTCTGAAATTGGGGCTTTTTCTTCAGTGTCTCAAATTAAGTCCTAGAGAGTCAATCTTGATTGAGTGTGAGGGTATATCGGCGGATACCAGTGACCGCCTTAAAAACTGCATAGCAGTAATTGGCAACGACTGGTGTAACAACGCCTCGTCGCCTCAGACTAAATTTCTCTGTCATTGTTTCGGTATAAATCGTTCTCTTACGAAATTAGGGTTTTGTGAATTTGGGAATTTTTGTGTTAAAGAAACAAAATTAGGGTTTCACAAAATTAGGGTTTCAGAAATTGGGGGTTTGTGGATTGTTTATCTTTTTGAGTCTAGAATTGATTCTAGAGAGTCATAAGTGATGAACGTGTAAGGGTATATCGGCTGGAAGACTAGTGACCGCCTTAAAAACTGCATAGCAGAAATTGGCAACCTCTGGTGTAACAACGCCAAGTACACCTTAGACTTTCTTTTCTTTGTGTTTCTTTCTTTGTCATTACAGGAAAATGAGCACCACCGAATGGAGATCTCCCAATATGATGGAAGAATCGACTTCGGGAGTTGGAAAAAGAAAATGAAGGCCCTTCTCTCTCATAACAAAGTTTCAATTGCACTGGAAAAGATCCCAAGAAATGGTCAGAGGAGAAACTGGCAAAGAAGAGGAAGAGATTGATGAAGAGGCTTATAACCTGACGTGATGAACCTTTCTGACAGTGTTCTTCGGAGGTAGATGGATTCGAACTCCTCTTGATTATGGGGTAAATTAGAATCTCTATATGCTTTACAGTCTGCACCGAATTTGGCTTTCCTAAAGGGAGCCCTATTCTCTTATAAGATGGATAATTCGAAGTCCATAGAGGAAAACCTAGATGAATTCCTAAGATGAATTTAATCTTAAAGGGCATAGACCAAGAACTAGGACAAACTAGTCTTGCCATGATATTATTAAATTCCCTAACTGAAGACTCCAAGTAGTCAAGAATGCCCTTAATACTCTGGTACTGTACCCAGTGTTGATCTGATAGTTGCGGGTCTTAAGGCTAGAGAACTAGAGCTCAAAACCCTGAAGAGAAACAATAGCACTCTGTTTGTGAAGGGTAGAGTAGAACCTGCTCAGCCGTAAAGGGTTTCAGTCAAACCAGGGGGGTAAGACAAGAAGAAGTGGAAGGGAAACAACAAAGCAAAACAGAAACTAGGAAATGCTACTACTGCAACAAGACGGTCACTTGAAGAAAAACTGTTTGATGGAAGAAAAAGCAGAAACTTGGTAACAAAAAGCAACCTAGCCACCACTAGTAACCAAATGGATGAACCTGAAGTCCTAACAGTGTCAATATCTGACACTGCAAAGGATGGGTGTTAGATTCTGGTTGTACCTTCCATATGAGCCCAATAGGAGTGGTTCCAAGACTTGAGAGGTCTGATCATGAGACTGTGTACATGGGGAACAACCAAGCCTGTAGGGTTAGGGGGATTGGCTGCATTACCCTTAGGCTAAATGGAGGAAAACTAATAAGGCTTACCAAAGTCAGAATATACCTGACTTAAGAGAAACCTCATATCATTAGGCACTCTAGATGAAGCAGGCTGCTGCTATAAGGCTAACAGTGGGTGGTTGAATGTATATAAAAATGAGAATCTCGTGTTGACAGGAGAAAAGAAAAATGGGCTATATGTGCTTTGTGGTAGTTTTTATTCTGACTGCAACAGCACAACACTTGGGTCTCAAAAGTTATCAGAACTGAAAAATGGCACTTGAGATTAGGCCATATGAGTCAGAAGGGAAGGATGTACTGAACAGACTAGGACAATTTGGAAAGACACTGTTACAAGCTAGAGTTTGTGAAGGATGTGTACTTGGTAAACAGCACAGAAATAGTTTTCCTAAGGGAGTTCACCTAGCAACAAATTGTTTGGATTACCTACATTCTGATTTATGGGGGCCAGAAAAGGTTAAATCTCCATGGTGGAAACAACTATTTCCTCTCCATAGTAGATGACTCAGTAGGAAGGTCTGGGTTTCTTGTTGAGATCGAAGACCAAGCCCTAGCAAAGTTCAAAGACTGGAAAGCCCTTGTTGAAAACCAGTCTGGCAGAAAGGTGAAAGCCCTCAGAACTAACAATGGGCTTGAGTTTTGTAATCTGGAGTTCGATAAGTTCTGCAGTGAACAAGGGATCCTGAGACATAGGACAGTGAGAAGTACCCCTCAGCAAAATGGGGGGGCTGAGAGGATGAACAAAACACTGCTAGACAAAGTAAGATGCCTTCTGATCACTTCCACACTACCAAAAACTTTCTGGGGGAAGCTCTCTCCACAGCTGCTTACTTAGTGAATAGGAGTCCTTCCACAGCTTTAAGCCTTATTAGTCCAGAAGAAAGATGGTCAAGGAGAAGACCAGAACTAGGGCACCTAAGAGTGTTGGCTGTGTTGCATATGCACACACAGTGGGGGGGAAACTAGAGCCAAGATCAACCGGTGTGTGTTCCTTGGATACCCTGAGGGCACAAAGGGATACAGGCTGTGGGACAGAGAGTCACCTGAGGTCGGATCTTAGTAAGCAGGGATGTGGTGTTTAATGAGGGAGTATTCCCATGCAAAGGCACCAACCCTAATGAGGGAACAACCAAAAGTACAGAAGAAGCTGCTAGACAGACCAATACCACACAAATTGAGGTGGAGCACACAAACCATCAAGTACACCCACCTCAAACACAAGGTCAAACTCCCCAGCTGCCTGAAACTGAAACTGCACCTGAGGAACCTGACCAAACTGAAGAGGAGGAAGCAGAAGAGTCCTTAGAACCACAGCACAAGACCTGACCAACTATCAACTAGCCAGAGACAGAACCAGGAGAGAGGTAAGACCACCCTCAAGATACTCATATGCAGAACTAATATATACTGCCTTACTTGAGGGACAGAGTACTTAGGTCTGAACCTGATACATATCAAGAGGCCATGGAATCCAAGGAAAGGGACAATGGAAACAGCTATGGAAGAGGAAATGCAATCTTTAAAGGTAAATGAAACCTGGACACTGGTTCCAAGACCTAGGAATCAGAAGCTGATCCAATGTGGTTGTTTAAACTTAAAGAGGGAATATCCATAGCTGATCCACCTAGGTACAAAGCCAGACTTGGGCTAAGGGGTTTACTCAAAGGGAGGGGATAGACTTTAATGAAGTCTTCTCCCCTGTGGTAAAATACAAAACAATTAGGTTAATGCTGTCTGTGGTAGCTTATCAAGACCTAGAACTAGAGCAGTTGGATGTCACCACTGCATTCCTTCATGGAACACTAGAAGAAAAAATAATATGAGCAACCCATGGGGTTTATTGACCCGAAATTCCCTGAACATGTCTGCCTTTAAAAAGATCCCTGCATGGGTTATAAACAGTCCCCTAGGCAATGGTACAAAAGGTTGATACCTTTTAATAGGCATAGGATTCACTAGAAGCTAATATGATAGTTGCTTCTACTTAACATGAAGATAATCTGCCTATTTACTTGCTTTTATAGTGGATGACATGCTGCTGATCAGTAAGTCAAAAACCTTGATCAGTGAATTAAAGAAAAGACTGAACACTGAGTTCAGCATGAAAAACTTAGGGAGTGCTAAGAAAATCTGGGCATGGAGATAAATAGGGATAGAAAGAAATGTGAACTCAGACTGCAGCAACAGTCTTACTTACTAAAACTAGTCACAAAGTTTGGCATGACTGGTGCCAAACTGGTCTCAATGCCCCTTAACAGTCAGTTTATTCTTAGAAGTCCATGCCCCAAAACTGAGTCTGAACTGTTGAAAATGGAGTCTGTCCTTATGCAAATGTGTGGGGTCACTGATGTATGCCATGATTAGTACTAGACCAGACCTAGCCTTTGCCATTTCCATGTTAAGCAGGTACATGTCCAATCCTGGTATGGAACATTGGACTGCTCTAAAATGGATGTTAAGTAATTAACAGTACGTTTGTGTAGGTCGTAGTACTGTAAAAGAAATACTGCACGATCTGGTTGGTTTTGTAGATGCTGATTTTGCAGTGATAAGGATTCCAGAAAATCAACAACTGCATACTACTTCACATTGGGTGGAAATTGTATAAGCTGGAAATCACAGTTGCAGCCTATTGTAGCACTGTCTTCAACAGAATCAGAGTACATTGCAGTAACTGATGCAGTAAAAGAAGCATTATGGTTGAAAGGAATTTTGACAGAAGTAAAACTATTGTTGGAAAGGTTACAGTGTACTCAGACAGTCAAAGTGCAATCCATCTAAGCAAGAATCCAGTGTATCACGAAAGAACAAAACACGTGGATGTACGTTATCATTTTGTGAGGAACCAAGTAGCAATGGAATCATGAACTGAAGAAGGTACCCACAGAGAGAAACCCAGCAGATATGGGCACCAAAATTATCACTCAGCTAAGTTCAAGCACTGCTTGAACTTGCTGTTTATCAAGTAATCCTGAGTGATAAAGAGCTATGAAAGAATGGGACAGGGCAAGCTGCACAAAGAGTCTGTTTCCAGTGCTTCCAGGGAGTTGGATTAAATATGGAAGCCTGAAACAGCGTCGTTTAGGGATACTAATACGGCGTCGTTTTAGGCATATTAACTTTGGCGAATTCAGACCACAGGATGCGTTTCAGATTGAACGGCCAGGATCACTCAAAGAGTAAACCATATATAAGCATCTGTTCTTTCAGTTTTCAGAGCAGAGAGAAATAAACAGTGGCTAGGGTTAAATTGAGTCGTTTCTTTCTCTCGTGTTAGGGTTCATATTCTACATTCCAGATTGTGTGTATCAGTCGAGTGATTAGAGATTTAATCATGTGTGAGAGTGTTGTCCTCTCGGGTTGGGATATACATCGGGTATCTTGTAAGGCTGATAGCCGTGTAAACGGGAGATCTGGTGAGTGTTGAATCTGTGTAATCTTGACTGGTTTCTGGTAATCAAAGTGCAGCGAGCTCATACCGTTCTTGAGCTCAACGTGGACGTAGCTTATCCATAAAAGGATAAGTGAACCACGGTAAATCGTTGTTTGTTTGTTTTGTTGATTTGCGGTATTCTTGTGTTCTTGGTTTGTTGTGTTGTGATGATAGATCAGGTTTTTTGCTATTGTGGTATAACACTTCAGAAACAACATGGACCCAATTTAAATGTTGTTGCATCGTCTCTATAGGGTAACTTGA